TTTTGCGGATACCTAAGAATGGTGTATGACTGGAAGCGGCACATGATCGACATCAGTAAGAGTCGGTGATAAGAATGAGTGAACCCTCACAAACGGATCGGCTGATGATCTGGAGGTACAACAGAGTCGTTGGACGTTCGTCACCACGTCGTTAGTATCGAATGGTAGGGTGATGATGCAGTTGGTGATGTCAAAAAGGAGCGTTATTATGTAGAAAAGAGTGGCATGTGTAGAAGCAAGTACCTCAGCAGTATCACGATCAGTAATAAACTCTTGAGGGTGAAAATTGAACACTACGTCATGAACACCGACGGATGAACGTAAATTGTAGAATAACCAAGTCGTTCGTAATGCCTACAATACAGGTGTTATTGAGTAAAGAAGGATAACATATGTAGATGTAAGTGCTTCAGCAGTAAAACGACGAAGCATGAAGTATTGCTGGCGCGAAGTACTCCGTATGGAAACCTCAGTGATTTGCATGGTTAGAAGCGGTCAAAGTTTGACATGTATAAACCCTACCAACACATCTGTTGCGTCATGAATACCGACGGATGAACGTAGCTTGTAGGATAACCAAGTCGTTCGTAATGCCTACAAAACAGATGTTATTGAGTGAAGAAGGATAACATATGTAGATGTAAGTGCTTCAGCAGTCAAACGATGAAGCATAAAATATTGCTGGCGCGAAGTACTCCGTATGGAAACCTCAGTGAATTGCATGGTTAGGAGCGGTCAAAGCGGTCATGTATAAACCCTACCAACACATCTGTTGGCAGTGGGAGAGGGGCGGTGGAGTTTTGAGAGAGAGAGTGTGTGACATAAAATATAGAGATTATACTTCACACCACAGACTGTGGACAGTGAATGTCGTGAATTTTTGGCACAGTGTACATCGGCGCATGTTCAATGTGGTAGGAATCTCCATGAAAACTGAACGTGCTAGTGAGAAAAAAGCGTATGACACAAAGCTATCGTATGGTAAAAGATTAATAAGTGTTTAGTAGGTATTAAGGGTGTAAAGCTGATCAGATAGACAAAAGGCATTATTCTTGTTGTGAATAAATTCCTGTAACGTTTTAACACAATGTACATCGGCGCATATCTATTAGGGTCGATCTTACAAATACGGCCACAGTAAGTGATACGGAAAAGGCAGTTCTTGATAGAGTGGAAGTGTACCAAGTATACGGCGAACATGATATATGTAGGGGTGTTGACAGTGAGACACAATCTGGAAGGAACCAGAAACAGGCACGGAAACGATTGTGAATTAATTACTCGGAGCAAATTTTTGTGACGGTTTGACACATCTAAATCGTTTTGATCGATCACGCTATGCAAGAGATACTGTGAATCATAGGGAGCTTCATCGCATGACACATGTAGTACTGGATAGTCTCAATGGCATGTAAGGTATCCAGAGAAAATCAGACGCGGATATGACAAATCAAGAACGGAGTCAACTTTTTGACGCACGATTTGTTTACTCCTATTAGTATATAGTAGAGATTCATCTGCGCAGAATTTATAGCGCGCGCCCGAAAATAAGTAGATTCCATCACTCCTCATTGGGCTAAAGCTTGTATTGGCCGCCATTTATTCTTTATCAGTATCTCTTAACTCTAGGTCCCCCTCACCCTACATGGTAAAGATGCTGGCCATTCGACTGCTATCGGTGACCTCAGTGAGAGCAACCTACTACGGCATAGAACCGCAACTAGTCCTGGGGATGACCAGACTGTCGGAAAGGGGAGCTCCTCAATGGTCCAGCAAGTGCATGAGGTCGTTATGGTATGGCATCAATAGCATGTTGGGGTTGATGAAGGCTGTGAACACATGGCGGAGGGATGGGTGAAGCAATAATTTCAATTATTGCTTCATACGACTCAAGACTAGCGCTCCTGCACGATTGTCAATCGATTCAAAATGATGTTATCACGAGACCGAATCATGCAGGAACAGTAGTTTGTATGAGAGCTCGGTTATACACAGCCTCTCTCGACAGGAGCTCACCGAGGAGTGGTATCAGGGATAATCATCATCAAGGTGGGAGCTGGTGAGTGGACCCCCTTCGCTCTGCGTCCTCAGCGGTGCCTGTATAGGGTGTTCCCTATGACGCCCAGAAAGGATAATCAAAAGCTTAAAGTCATTAACGAGGACGGTGCTAGAACATTATCATTACTATGATGCATATCTGATATATTGCCTTCCCTAAATGGATGCCTTTTCCACGCTGTGGTATAACGTGGATGCGCTGAGCTGCTGAGGTCCTCAGTCGTGTGCCTTCCGAGTTAACGATCCTCCCCTTGTAAGAGGGTATCAATGGTTATGTAAGAAGATACCAAGGAGGAAGCGAAATGATCTAGTAGGATGACGAAAGTAGGGAGAAGTGAATCGTAGGAAGAGATGGTCGTATTTCAACTGAGGAGCCGCTGCCTTGAGTTTAGTGGGGAACGACAACTCGACTATGTTCTTACTACTACTACGACGATCTGGGTGGCAGTAGCCTACCATGGTGATCCTATCTATCTACACTTGTCTATAACTCATCATGGTAGGCCGAGCGAGGTGGTGGTATATAAAACTCTTCTCATGTGTAGCATGCCGCGAGAGGGGTTGATGTTGGTAGGCCTAAGACTCCTGTATGAGGGACGTTTCAGCTTCGCTAGCAACAGGATCAATTGTCTGCTATGTTTTGAAAATGGTATTCGCGACACGCTTCGCTCCGCTGAAAATCGCGTGCGCTATGGGATACAACTCAGTCTCGTTGTCAGACTTGTTGTGAAGTCTTTAAATATGTTGTCTCAAAAGGCCACCCTGAAGGATCTGCCCGAGAGCCAGATCAAGGGCAAGAGAGTCCTCATGCGTGTGGACTTCAATGTCCCTGTTAAGGACGGTAAGGTCGCTGATAAGACCCGTATTGTTGCTACCATACCTACCATTAAGAAGGTCTTCGAGATGGGTGCCAATAGCATCGTTCTTATGAGCCATTTAGGCAGGCCTGAGGGCAACAAGGTTGAGAAGGTAATGCAACAAACAAGCCCCTCCGTAGTAAGTCATTGTAATTCAGTTCTCCTTGAAGCCTGTCGTGCCCGTCCTTACCGAGCTCGTTGGCCATGAGGTTACCTTTGTCGAGGACTGCGTTGGTGATGTCGCCATTGAGGCTTGTGCCTCTCCTGCCCCCGGCAGCATCATCCTCCTCGAGAACCTCCGCTTCCACGTTGAGGAGGAGGGCAAGGGTGTGGTCGATGGTCAGAAGGTGAAGGCCTCCCCCGAGGCTGTTGCTGCCTTCAGGGCCGACCTCACCAAGCTTGGTGATATCTTCATCAACGATGCCTTTGGTACCGCCCATCGTGCCCATTCTTCTATGGTCGGCGTCGAGCTCCCTATCCGTGCTGCTGGCCTCTTGCTAGCCAAGGAACTTCAGTACTTTGGCAAGGCTCTTGAGAACCCTGAGCGCCCCGTGTTGAGTGTATTAGGTGGCGCTAAGGTTAAGGATAAGATCCAACTTATCAACAACATGCTTGACAAGGTCGACATGATGATCATCGGTGGTGGTATGGCTTATACCTTCATCAAGACCCTCTACAATACCCCTATTGGCAACTCCCTCTTCGATGAGGAAGGTAGCAAGATCGTACCTGACCTTATGAAGAAGGCCAAGGATAAGGGTGTTGAGATCCTCCTACCCACTGACTGGGTTTGCGCTGATGACTTTGACAACAACGCTAACACCAAGATCTGCACTATGGAGACTGGTATCCCTGATGGTTGGGAGGGCCTTGATGTTGGTCCGGAGTCGACTAAGCGTAACCTTGAGTTGTTGAAGAAGGCCAAGACCATCATCTGGAACGGCCCTCAGGGTGTATTCGAGTTCCCTAACTTCGCCAAGGGATCCTTCGCTCTCCTTGATGGTGTTGTTGCCGCTACTAAGGCTGGTGCTACCTCCATCATTGGTGGTGGTGATACTGCTGCTATGGTTGAGCAACAGGGCAAGGCTGGTGATATCTCTCATGTCAGCACTGGTGGTGGGGCCTCCTTAGAGCTCCTCGAGGGCAAGCAGCTCCCTGGTGTTGTGGCTCTTACTGATAAGAATCAGCTCTAAGTGGGAGTCTTAATGTAGTAGCTGTTGTTACTCAGCTTACTATTGTTTTCACGATTACCAAGTGACGATTCTACTGTCAAGTGTCGGGTTAAGCCAGTTGGGAGGGTACACGAAGCAGGTACGGCCTCGAACATCATTACTGACTATTACAGCAAAACCACTATATAAACATTCGTATATATCGCGATGATTCTGACCGACAGTTCGTGGGAGTTAGGATGAATCGAAATAGCGCTAATGTTGGGTATCGGTCTCAGCCGTCATAAAGTCTTACGAGGTTCCCTCAGTCAACAGACTAGTGTGGGTCTCCCTCTTATACGAGCATATTGCTCAACGCTACGAGTGTTATTTTTCCTATGGCCCCAAAGCGGGAGTCGAAGGATATCCTATCGAGGGTAAACAACGGAATCGTGAGTGTACTCTTATCTCCATCGTGACTCCAAACTCGTAGACTAGGGCGGCCATGGCAACCGACAAGCGGAGTCGTGATGAGCGTCTACGCCAATGCGCAAAGGATTAGCCGGGAGCCCTCACAGTAGGAGTGTGTTGGAATATGTCTGGTCTTAACCTCAGCTCGGGAGTTTCCAAATTATGAAGATTTACACACGGAGGATTTACTTCTTTCCGAGTCGCCTTGGATCCTGAGGGTGTTCAACTGGCTTAACTCTAACCGAGAGCTATACCACTCCTCGGTGAAACAAAAACAGTTGCTAATCAGGTTAAACGAATTTCACAGCGAGTTGAGAAGGGTTGCCGATCTTGAATAGTTATCAAAGTGAATACATTAAATGAAGGAAAATGGACTTAAAACTGAATTGAAACGTGAAATTATCCCCCCAGGATCGTGATTACAACGGGGCACAACATGCTCACAATTAGCTGAAGGTATCGCTATAATCTTTAAGGAATCTTCCTTGATGATATCTTTCATAATCCCACCAAATTTCTCAGTATTAAGATTCTTCCTTGAACAATTGTAAGGTTAATCACGAAGTTTTGGAGGTCCCTTCACTAACGCCACTCATGCTGCCCGAGCTGACCAGACTGATTGCCTCTACTCTGACTGTGATGTACTATTATAACACTTGTCGTAAGTCTTCTTATTGGAACCTAATACGCTATGCTCCTGAATCCCCGCTGCGTTGGCCGATCGTAACGCTAGGATTGGATCCATAAATGATGACTGGAGTTGGCGCGTCCCCTCGTCTACCAGTACAGCTTTTTTTCTTACTCAATGTAGACATAGCTCAAGATCGTGGAGATCTGCTAGGTAGCTACTCCAGGATCACTCTCAAGACACTACAATAACCAAACACTCCTTCTGCACAGGCAATTCGATGGCGGAAAACCGAAAAATGTTCTCTAGCCAAGAGAACGTATAGTCATCATCTGGAGCGTAAGCCACCACGCGATTGAAATCATGAACAATCGCCATCATGCAGAACAAAGTCTGCCAAGAGAAAAATGTAATTTTACTCATAGTCATGAACTGAACTATTGTGCCATGTTAGGAGACCTGAGAACAACCACTAAGTAGTAACCTTCCTCAATAGTTGCCACTAACCTATACAGCAAAGTGGGGTTCGGCAAGGAACCCCTTCTGGAAGACTTGCCGTAGACCTGTGAGGCGAGCTCTCGTGGAGTACTCAACTCGTTTGAAAGTATCCTTCCGATCTCAAGGTCGCCAAGGTCGACACTCCTACGTCGAGGAGGAGGAGGATGAGAAGTCGGCTTCGTAGGTGCCGTTTCATCATATTCCTAAAGTGACTACAGTCAGAGAAGGAAGGTGACTGCAGGGGACTGGCACCTCTATCTCAATACGGCTACTGCCCGATCGAGAGTAGGGGATAATGCTGGCCCAACCGTTGCGCCACCCGTCACTACGGGATAACAACAACGTTAGCAGGGCGATAGCAATGGTCAGGCCGAAGACCGACGACAATACTACTACGAACACCGAGGAAGCGCCCATATGGGAATCAAACTGTTGATGAGTGCCAGCTCTGATGGATTCAATTCAACCATCGACTATAACACAAGAGGTAGGATGAATTCTAACGACGACATCACATCGTGGCATGCACTATACTGACAATTTCATCTTACTCAGCTCTGACCAATACCTGACCATATGATACCACTACATATGTCTTACCACTAGCATTCTTGGTGAAAAATAACAAAAGAGAGTATCGAACCACCGACCTTCGGCATAATAAACCAACACCTCCCCCAATTCAACTACTTCTCAGGCACTCCAGCAGCCTTCAGCTTTTCGATCTTCTTCTGTTTAATTGTCACCAACTTTTTCCTCTCCGCTGCGATCTGCGCTCTTACGACATTCCCTTCCTCCAAGAAATCACGACGGGCTTGCATACTGGCTTCCTCCCGAGCCTGAAAAAACAACAATAGACTTCAACTGCCTACTGCTGCTCATTAAGAACTGGGCAAGTGAGAATAACCTGTATTTGTTTCTTCAACTCCTCGCAATGGTTATGCCTTTGTTGCCTCTCCTCCTCGGCCCTCACCCTCTCAGCCTCTTCCTGTTGCATTTGTATCAGTACTATCCTCTCAAACTCCTCCCTCTCCAACCTAGCAGCAAGCGGCCCCATCATCACCTACTACAACTATGAATACTATTACATAGCCTGCTCAGCTAGACGCCTCTCCTTCTCCTCTGCTTGTTTCTCCCTAGCCTTAGCCAACTCCTCATTGATAGCTTCCAACCTTCGAATCTCAATGAGCTCCTTCTGTCGGGCCTACCATCACGACAACCATCGAACCCAGCCTCTGTGCAAGAGCATAAATACCTGTCGTTCTGCAGCCTCGATAGCCCTCTTGGCTCGAAGTGCATCCATGTCGGCAGCCTTATCTTGAGCGCGTTGTTGCTGCGCACGAAGACGTGCGAATTCCGCTTCCTTGGCTGCAGCCTCTGCCTAAAAAATGCAACTTGGTATATTCGAACCTGCGCCTTTGCGTCAGGAGCCGACCCTCCTGTCCAGGCGGCTATAACAACACGAGAATACTACAGCTAAGCGCTCCTCTCTTGCTTTAGCCTTCTGTTCCTTCATCCTTTGATACTCAACTATCTTCTGTTCCTCCAGCTTCTCCGCAATCAAGCGTTCCTCTTTAACTATAATACAACCAAACTCCCTAACCGTCACCGCGCCATAAAATTCCTACTTTTCAGAGCTGCAGCATTAGCCGCATTGACCTCTTCAACCAACCTCGCTGCAGCTACTCTCTTCTCTATTTGCTGTGCAATCTATGATACCAAAACTTACCCAAATCAGCCCATCACCACCACCACCTTCCTACCTCCTCTTCCTTCAACGCCTCTATCTGTCTTAATATAAAGCCTCTCTCTCGGTCCCGCTGTTCCTCCTGATGAGCCATCCAAGATGGTAGCCGAAGTCGATGAGTACCTCCCTCAGTCGATTCTGTTGACGATCTTTAATTTGCTCGATAATCACAGAAGCTCCACGACGTTGATCCACTGCTCGCTTTCTGTTGCGTTCTTCATACCTTTCATTCAAACGACCCAGGTTCGAACCCCGCACCCGACACCAGTATCACATCTTCAGAGCCTTGAGCCTCTCTATCTCGGACATTACATCGAGCTGTTGCTCTTCCTCCTCCCTCTCTGCATGTATATATCTTCAACAACAAACAATGGTTCCAGCATACTCTCCATCATCTACCTTTTCTCTTGGACTTGTGCATCTCTTATAGTCGCCACTTTCGAGTAAAGCATCATTCGGTTCATATGCTTCACATCGTCCATGTCCTCATCCAACTTATCCCTAGCCCGTTGCAACACCTGAGAGGTCCCCCTATACATTATCATTATTTCATATAAGGATGAATAATATATTTTAGTCTATTAAATATTACTACATTAAAAGATATATTTAGTCTACAATATATTTTAATGGATCATAATATGAACAGGTATACTTCATATTTCAATATACAGATTCCAATACCATATATTCCGTAAATATCTATACATTGATACTTACTGTATCTATGTTTGCTTATATTGAACATAATCCTTATATACACTCCACTTTGCGAGTAGTACTCTTACCGAATTCCGTTCAGCTTTATCATTGACCTCATTGGTGCTCCTCAACGCATTCCTCTTCCTCTCCTCTTCCATCTTGACCATCTTATCCTTCCGCTCTTTCGACTTGCGCATTCTCTCGCCATACTAAAAAGAGAGCCTCAAGCGGACCTATTCCGCATCCTACACTGGTGAACCTAAGATTCTCCTACCTCCTCACGGGCCTGCCTGCGTCTTGCGAGCTCTCGTTCTTTCTCAGTCATCGTGGATCCTTCCCTCAAACTGTTCAGAAGACTCATACCATAGCTTCCTCAACTTGTCTGAATTACCTGTTGAACTCACTCGCTGCCACCACTGCAATATCCCGACTGGCCGCCTTCCCCGAAAGGGTACTGTCATTAACCGCCTTCCGCACCTACACGACAACTCAACAGGTTATCTATCGTGCATTCCATTCGATAGATCCCGGGTTCGAATCCTGCTAATGTACCTTCACTGTATCTTTTCCCCTAATTTCCACCAAACGCCTCTCCCCTTCCTGGTGACCTCCATTATCACTCAATGGCGATGATGAATATGCGGATGCCATAGCAGGACGGCTAAAGAGCGCAGCTAGTATGGAGAGCATCATCACTCGACCTTCATCGTCGTTCCCTCGTGCTATCAGTGCGTACCCCGGTGAATGAGATACCAAGGGCTATCCAAACTGATTATGATATTCCAGATGGACTACAACTAGACCCCGTGGGACTTCATATTGCCTCGAGTGAATCATACAACTCCTACATTCTCAAACAGTTACAACGCCCGTACGGAAAACGGTTTTTCGTGCAATTAGGCAAGAAGAGTTTTTCTTGCAAAATACGCGTTACACGGGTCCATTATATGTGTGAGGTCTTAGAGGAATCTTAGTGAAGGTTAAAGAGATGATGAGCATTGTGTGTTTACTAGCAATCACTTTGAATAATAGGCTAAAATACAAGTCGGCAAGAGTTTGTCCTACTAGAATCACTTCGGAACAATCACAGGAAGTCCTAGGTCTGCTGACAACACACGTGAATGCATGTGGGTACATATCACGAGACCATATTGATCGATACCATTTAGCGATGCTTATGCTGCTCTTGTGTTGACACACACGTGTGTGCTTCAATACTAGATGATGTTGATACTAGAACAAAACATGTCGAAGAAGTATCCTATCAACGCACGGCCTCGTAATATCTTGCATTATATCAGAGGACATAGTTGCGGTGCTCTGATATGATTCTCTGTGAGAGGCGAAGTTTATAGGCATGGGTATGTAAATGCTGCCCTAGCCCGACTCGAACACAGGTTGCCAGATGTCTCACTCGTTAGAATCACCACGATTTGACTGTTGTTCATGCGTGTTGCAAATGTTCATGAATTTTCCTCCGAGCTACGTTGAACCCACGTCTCCCTATTCTCTGATGAAGAGCTCCCGATACACAAGGTGTAATAATATTGTCTAGGCGTATTCGACTGAAGTCGTTGACAACTAAAGAGAGTGAGCACTCAGCATTCACTCCATCTTGTTAAGTAACTAAGCATCATCTGACTTTGAATATACCCTCAGACTCAGCATACCGTCGACTAAAAAATCAACAGTCATCATCAAAGATAACATCGCATCAATGTTCGTGCTATCGACCCGAGACAGTAGACAAAAGTCCACTGCTCAGTTGAGGGGAAAGTACTCATACGTCTTGCTACTCCTCTCGTTAAATTCCAACTCACTGTCTGTGCTATAGTCGTTGAAGTCATAACCACAATAAGGGTCCCACAGCCCTGGACGTGCCTTCATCACCAACAAGAACTCATCGCGGAACTCCTGGTCCATCGGCCTCTTGAGGACCCTCAAGGGGGTCAATTTGGACACCACTTGGTTAGGGTAACTCCTCAACAGGGAACGTAGGAAAGGCCAATGCTGCTGTTGATAAGCGTGAACGATAGCCTCAGTGTTATACGCCAACACATGTCCACGCAGACCGACCTTGTAGATGAGGTCGATCGCCTTGAGGTCATCAGCTAAGATCCGCTCGATGCACGGCTGAGCTCGGATGACCTCCTTCAACCAAGAACAGTGGTCCTCGTCGATAAGCCGGGAAATAGCAACAAATGAATCTTTGCGGGCCACGGTGGAGTTGATGATCATATTCATAACACCAATCCAGCATTCTCGAGGAGGGGGATTGTGTTCGCCTACGATGAGTTTCATAAGGCCCCGGTAGAGCCCGTTGAAGACGTCCTCATCAGAGCAAGTGATCAGACCAGCTGCAATGTCGTCTATACTGTCCTGCTTGGACGAAAACCGAGACCTATATTCATGGTAGTGGCGACAGGCACCCCAGAGGAGGTCGGCATTCACTTTCCGGTATCGCCAAGTAGCCATGACCAAGGACAACCACAAACCACCACTTTTCTGGGCGTAGTTCACCAACAGTGATATAACCTCGCTGGGCAGCTCAGCACAACCAGAGACCTTACGACTTCGTAATAGCAGTAGATGCACCAATGATAGGAGGTCATTCGAAGGCTTGAGTCGACACAGAGCACTGTCGACGGCTTGCAGGGGTACAGTAACGCCATTGAAGTGATCAGAGAGGACCAAAGAGAAAAATCTGGTGACCACAGAGAAGTTGGTCAGCACTTCCGACTGCCTCAAGAGGAATTGCTTGTCCGATTGTGAGAGGTTCTCGACCAGGATAGGGTAGTCAGTGAGCCAGTCAAGTGCATGAGTTCTCAATGCAGTGTGAATGTGATGCTGAAAAAGGACAAGTGTTGGCGACCAACTGACGATTGTGGCCGACTCACATCGCTGATGACTTTGGCCAAGCCACTAGGCCCATTAGAATCCACTAGGCCCTGTAGGAACTCTGGGGATACCTCCTCGTTGGACAGTTCCACCATGATGGTAGCTAGGGCCTGCCCCAAGGGGCGCCAGGTCAGTCGACTTCGGCTCAGAATCTGACAGATAACATCATCATCACTGACGATGCACTGTCCAGCCGACCGTTCCAACAGCCCTTCCGAAAGCCTCAGGTCGACTCTCGAGCTCATCCCTTAGTGAGACTAGGCGTAGGGCTGCAAGAACCTCTGCCGGGTCGCCACACTGGGCGGCTGTACGGAGAGTCTTCGAGGGGTTAGTCTTCTTCATCAAAGTAGGTAGGAGTGGTAGTAATGATTATGCGCTGTTGAGTTAGCGCGCGCCCTGAAACGCCATGTGCAAGATTCGAACCCGGGACCTTACTTTGAATCTTTCGAGTCATTTCCCCCCGCTGCGTTCTACCGTGTATTTCACACGCAGTATTATACCATTTTTGAGCCGTCTCTGTATGTTGCTCTCTGGTCGTTGCCCTGTGGCCCAGAGGGGTCGTCTCCTTCACACTTCCTCCTTGCGTCTTCATCGCCCTACTACAGTTAAGATGATCGACTCTTGGAGGACTGAACCCTCCAGTGAGAAGCCCATGTGGTACAACAGGTGACCTAATTTGTATCTTATTGTCTCAACCTAAAGATACTTCTCCTCAGATTCGATCAAGTGGACCACATTTCTCAGCATCCCGATCCTGAGAAAACCGAGAAGTACCCTCCGGTGGGTTCAGTCCTCTTGCCGACCTTCCCCGTATCTTACCATTCTCAGGTTGACGATACCCGTAAGCTGATGAAGACCCGTGGGGATCCCCACATCATGCGTGGCTGGGGAGAGTACGGTCCCTATCACCGCCCTTGAATATGACCTCATCCTACAGGTATGTCTATTGTCATTATGAGCACCTTCGTGAACCCGTCTTCCCGAGGAAGCCCGACGTCGCCAAGGGGGAGTTAGCCGCAGTGAGCTCCATGTGTTGGTGACAATATGAAAATTCTGGGAGGACGTTCTTGTTGTTTTCTGCACATTCATATCTGAATTCGTGTTAAAACTCCCGAGCTCAGCTGAGGAGACCAAATATGCCCATGGTCAACTACATGTATTAGTGACAAAATGAAAACTCCGGGAAATTATTGTTGGTTTGTGTGAATTCCTATAAGGTGACCAAGCATTTTCCAACATCTAGGTGCCAATGTGACCCGTACTGACGTATGGAAGCGTGAAGGCGAACCTGCTATCCAATCCATTGCAAGGTAATCACCTCCTTACCAGCGTAAAGTATACATTTCCATTCCTCCTCAGATTCAATCCGGATAATTTCCGTCCGGTTGGGTATGCTGAGAACATCCCTTGTCCCGACACCTGCGTCCCCGAGGGCCATCTTGATTTTCGCCACACCCGTCTGCCAACCTGGCACGCTGATCGCCGGCCCTTCCATTACTTCGCCACGGGGATGTTCGGTCTCATTGGTTTGGCATTTTTGAGAGGTAACTTTTTCATTGGAGTTTAACGTGAAGTACGCGACCAGTATCGCTAAGTTGTTTTTCATATCGCTAGGGTGAGACTTCATCTATGCCCTAGCTCGAATTTTCTCTTATACCTGGGCAAACCAGTGACTCCCGGGAAGCCAATGAACCTGGTCCCCAACCACTATGTACAGCACTGATTGATGATAGTTTGTTCGTCTGCAGGTACGGTCGTGAAGGTGGTCCACGGTTTGTGGCCAGCTCGTGATGCGATAGCCGCGGGGGTCATCGAGGTGGACTTGAGGGGTATTCAGCCCGGGCAGAACTTCGTGGTCAAATGGAGAGGAAAACCGGTCTTTGTGAGGAGACGTAAGGAGGGTATCTTAGCTTCAACTACGTAAGATACGGATTAGGTCCGAATTTGGCCATTCGCAGGTACACAAGCGATGATCGATGCCGCAACTGCTGATGATGCAATTGTTAACAGTTTGAGAGACCCCGAACGCGATAAGGACCGTGTAAAGAAGCCGGAGTGGTTGGTCATGCTCGGAGTGTGTACCCATCTCGGCTGTGTCCCTTACCCCGACCAAGGCCTCTATGGTGGATACTTCTGCCCTTGTCATGGTAGCCATTATGATCATTCTGGGAGGATTAGGCTTGGCCCGGCTCCATTGAACATGGAGATACCAACGTAGGGGAACTGTAGTGGGAATGTGGGATGATGATTTTCAGATATGAGTTTATTGATGACGACACCATTATACTGGGATAGTGGTCGGGCATTTTATTGTTGACAATTTCGTACACCTACACCCTTGGGGGTTGGGACTAATATGATGATCGATGAGGACTCCTTTTTATTATAACAGTTGTTGGTGTTGTGTTCAGAGTGGTGATAGGAAGGTTAAGGTTGTTTTATTTGCCTCCCATTACGTTTTGATACGGGTTTCCTCGTCCGCGCACCCTCGTCGGAGGCTACTGTCGTCGATTGTGGTCACTGCCAGGCGGTACATTTCGAGGAACGTTGAGAAAGAGATGGTACGAGATTCGGCTAGCACGCATGCACAAGCGAGGCCTCCACTGGTCGTTACAATGAAGCAGTTGATGCTAAAGGGTTGCCAACAACAAGCGATCGCTCTCTTCGAATCTTCCATTGATCTCGCGGACTCCCGAGCGCTGACTCTGGCCGCGAAGTTGTATGGGAAGGCGGGTGAGGTCGAGAAGGTACGGCGATGCTTCGAGGCGTTGGATCGGACACAATCGGGAGGGTTGACTCAAGTGAGTATAAGAGTGGGGTTGAGGGCACTTGTAAGGGAGGCCAGCTGGACTATGATCATCTGTGATCAGCTTGTGAGAAAATACCCCTTGGTGAGGATTGAACCCGAGTCGTTCGATCTAGCGATGAAGCACTTCCCCATCGGGACTGCTCGAGGTCTTCTGATCGACACCATGTTCAACCCCGCCTATAACGTCCCATGGACTGATCGGCATCTGGTTCGAATAGCCTCCACTGAAGGGACAGTCTTTACGGCCATGCCAGCCGGCTCCACCGACCTCACAATTCCTCAACTACGTGAATGTTTTGGTGACAAGTTGGTCCGTCCTGAGCTCAAGGCGATAGTCGCTGCCAACGACCCCGTCATACACGCCATCTGTAGAGTTCACTCACATCATCATCAACCCCTTGAGATCGCCAGCAATACCCGCGTGGATCCTCTGACCCACTCAGCTCTGAGTCGACTAGGTCGAAGTGTCACACTATGGACCTTGGATGGTGTTGCTTATTGTTATGATGCTCAAGGTGGTGGTAATCACTGCGATCCACCCGCGTTAGTTGAGGACCCCTCTAGAGTGATCGGGAACGCCTCTGGTCGAATTGACAGCGTATTCTCGTCCTTCCGGTATATGTGTTCACTCGGCAACACAAAGTCTCTGTCGGCCATGGTCGCCCTCAAAAAGTGGCTTATGAGTGCCAATGGACGGTATCAACCGAAGCGTGTGTTCAGCGACGAGGAGGTCTCGGAGGGTATTGATTGGATTGACCAGAAGATCGTCGAATTACGGCAGAGACCGACCAAGGCTCGCGTTTGATTGTATTATTGACGCCATGAGTTTCTGTGCCGTTCTACTGTCCACCTCCTGTTGGGTTATGTCACCACGATAAGAAACGTTCAATTCAGATCGAATAGCGAAATGGTCGGTCGGGAATTTCTCCTCCACTCACTTCAACAGCATCAGAGTTGCCAAAGTAGAAACGGACGAATTTGCGCGAAGACAAAATAGGAGGAATGAATAGCACTGATAATGACCAAACTGCTTCCATTAACACTGGTTCGATCTTTCCGAGAGATCTATGTCGTTCCACTCGGGGTCGTTGAAGGCTTTGGATGGCCAATCTGACCTTCATTGCAAATAGTCGTCAACACTCGCATTGTAGAACTTATCCGAGGTTCTTAGATAGCTCGAAAAGGGAGGAGAATGGGGGCTACGATGAGGCTGAGGTTTGGTATGGCCGATGTATTCGTTTTATATGCATGCTATGAAGGAATATTCTATGTTATGAATCCAACGAAATACTCCGTCAGAAAAGAACGCAACCACCCAGCCAGTTGTAAAATATTCATACATGAATGATACAGATGTTAACCTCTTTCGTATACTATACAGTGCCACTAGTCAAGATATTGCGAATAACTCTCCGACCGACGCGGTTTCCCAGCGTATATTTGAGCCAACCTCGTAAGAAAAGCCGTTCGATTCACTATAAAAGGGAACGCTGTTTTCCTCAACCAATCATCGACCTTCACATACTTCTCTTGGCTCATATTCCTCCGTACATCTGGATCTTCATATCCCAATACGTAATCGCGCACGCCCTCGTAATCGATATCATTCTCCCGACCATTATCGCTCTCGATAAGATCTGTAGTATGACTCAAAAACACATCTCGAGCTTCACAAGAAAAGCTCAGCAGAGAATCCAAATTTTGCGTAAGTGCAAATAAGCCTTTTATTTCCGAGTCAAATCTCCTTTTTGTGTTTTCTCTCATTGCCACCGAGGCCTGCTCCAGAATTCGATTTTCCTTCAAAATCGCCGCACTTTTCGCAACAGACAAAAGCCAAACATCTTTATCAGAAGTCGTAGCCGCTCGCAAGGTCAACGTTCGCGTGTCCATCACAACTCTAAAAATTCTCTTCGACTCTCCTGCATCGCTCCGCCCATCTCCCGAGACAACTTTCTCACAATTCACCAACTCCAAGACCCTCGAGGGTTTCTCTCCACTACGATACGACAACGTAGACGGACGTAAAGTAAATTCTCGAGACTTCCATTTTTTACCGTTAGAAGACAGCTTATCCAGACTGCCCTTTCTGAGGACATCCCCAGCCACCTCCTCTTCATCTTCTAATCGACGAGGCTTCGATTTAATTTTTTCACCCGGAAGATGAGCCACCAACTTATCTGGTCTGCCGCTTTCACTGACGATCTCCAACGGTTTTTCCGATTCTTCCAATTTCCGTTCGACCACCGAATGCCGACCACTCGATACAAAATAAAGATTCATCTTACGCACGGTTGAGTCCTTCTGTTGCAACTTATAAAGGAGCTCCGAAACCGTCGTATTAGCCGACATATGACGAATTTCTCGAAATGTGTTGTCAATGAAATAAATGCGTATGGTCCTTCCCGAACTTACACCATCATGTACCCCCTCACTACAACTCGCAGTCGGCGACATCGGCTGTTGTTTGAGTGCTGTTGCCGAGAGGAAGAGACTATTCATTATCTGCACGCATGCACAACTACAAAACTATTCCGTCAGAATACAATGGTCACTGATAAAATATATTTTCGATCCACATCAAGCGACATGAGCAACCTCTTGTTTTGAAAATAGCATTCAAACGGACGGGCCACAGCCAAAATTCTCAGTCAAAAATCGTCTAAGAGCATACTATAGAGTTATCAGTGTGAACCATCATACAGTGCCCGCCGATTTGATATGCAAATGTGTGTTAATTTGGAGGGCAAATTATAGTGAACAAGTTGTCGTTATCATAGTCCCTAACGGGTACTTTCATCACATGCTCAGAGACGTAGCGATGTAGTTTCATTTTGATTCTCATTATCGTACGGAAATTACACACATTGGCATATCGAATTGACACGCGCCGTATATTCCTAGGATCACCCCAATTTCATGTTACCAAAAGTCTACATTCTACCCCGAAAAAAGAAGATCGCCTCACACTTCAGTTCGCCACTAAACTCAACAACCAATTGCACTACCGCATCTCCCGAAAGATACAAAACATATCAGTTTAATACAATAACAGCAGTAAAGATATCCCTACAACCGCACCGCGAAGATTTTCGCCACAAAAATTCCACTTCAATCAATCATCTGTTTTTTACCCTGCATAACCGTCGGCAACTTGAGCCCACCGGACTCCCCGACTGTCCCCTTCCTTTTCGATATCATCACAAATGCAAAGTAAACTCCCATAGCTATAACAACGACCACCGCGAGGACGGCAAGCTGCAGTAGAATGTCCGATTTAGTGTCCAACTTTCGCATCCTTCGAGCTGGCTGATCTCCAAATTCAACATCGTCAATTTCGATGTCATTCACCGGCGGTGGTGACACGATACTACCCTGAACAGATTAACCACTGAGATAAAATATCCACAGTATGCCCAGGAACATCATTCTTCCAAACATGAGTTATAACGCCCGTTAGTGGGAAAATAAGGAGGACCTCAGTAAAAACACTATAAAGAAAGTAAGCCACAACGGCTGGGTTTTACTGCCAACTCCACTGCTACTATCTACAGCATCACGACAACTAAGCGCCCTTACTATACTATACAGACGTACTACTGAGGGAGTTCCTGTATACGACTATTACCGATCTCAACCCAGGAGCAGCACTCGATTCGAGAATGTCATTCAACACGATAGCAGTCCTCGAGCCAGCGAGTAGGATCTGCTGTATTAATAATTGCCGCCATTTCTCCAACACAGCCGCATCCACGTTGATGGGAGAACCACTGCCAATCGGCAGACGCTCATTGCTCAACGGGTTGGTGTAGATGCTGAACGAGAGTAAGCTGAAGGTCCCGGGTTCCATCCTCGGCTAGTACAATTTATTTGCAAACTCCGCGTTGTCGTTACACCACTTTTCAAGAGCTGCTTTATTATTCTCTTGCCATAATTTCTTATCCGCATTGTATGTCTGATCCAAGAGGAATCTTAGCATCAACCATGTAAGATACAAAACAGGCTCTTACATCAGGATTCGCCCGCTGTATATGAGTCCATCCACTCCACCAAAACTGCGGATGATTCTTTATCGTTTCTTGAATGATTTCGTGATCCCACAACTAAACAACGAGGATCGATAGTAGCTTCTCAAATTCATTTCCAAGACCTTCCAGAAAAGTAGTCTCACTCTGACATTTATATGAGGAATAACTAATGATGGTGTTAATAAATATAATGGAATTTCACCCGTTTTACGTGAAGTGGCGTGATACTCCATGTGAAAAACGCGATATTCGCGATATGACGTGAATTGCAAACATTTCCAGAACTACACTGAACAAATTACCCCATATCACATACCCGCGTTTCACACGCCATCCACGCGTAGTTGAACGTAAAGTGTTTTTCAAATTGCGGGTGAAACTCCGAAATAGGAAATTATATAATATTTCATTTAATGATAATATATTCATAGATCCATTCATACATTGGAGTTTCTCAACCCTAGTGATATGAAAAACACTAGTGAAAAACATATTTCACGACTACTGCATATCACCACGAATATCGGCATTTTCACAGAGTATTACACCACCTTAGACAAAACGAGTGAAACTCCAATATAAATGATAAAAACCTAGCATCAAATAATACTCTCATGATTCACGACTTCAATATTCCACCGACATATTCCTGTAGTCGCCCTCTAACCTTTAACGCCATAAAAACGAAAGCTGACCCGTCTCCTATTACTTCATATAAAGACAACGTAGATCCACCCGGCAACTTAACGATAGTCTGCTTCCCGAAATCATCAGCTGAGAAAACAGTGTTGGAATATATGTTCGTTGCAGTTTCCCACAGAAGTTCACATATGAATTCGCGTAGGAAAAAATTTCAACACACCATGTGCATGCTAGCTCGTCCCAACCGGCACTACTCTGGAATCCCTCATGGAGTGGTTGATGCATGTCTCCTATCAAATTTATCAGAAATCGGACCGCATCAGCGTCTGTGACTTGTACCGGCAACCTCGCCGATGACATCATCAATCTATCTTTCTGCGAGATCTAAACATAAACACTTTTTGCATATAATTTCCCCCAAACTTCTACCTTAGACGTATCCCCCTTAGCTTGATCGTAGAAGAGCTTCAAAGCTTCTAATAAGCACTGGCCTTGAGGACAGGTGATTTCGTTGACCACCAAAGTGTTTGAGAAGGGTTCGGGTTGTGATAAGAAATGGAGTCGCGTCGACCATGGGATGGACGATTCAGCCTTATGAGCCCATCCTGAAAAAAGAATCTACTCTAATTAGTATTGGGAAATATGTTTGCTGTTACGAGGTCAGCTCGAGAGTTTCCCGAATGATAATGAAAGTCTACAGAAACCAATGAAAATTTCCAGAAAATTTTCATATTGTCACCAACATTTGCCCATTTTCCCCGCACACCGAGCCTAATGGTTAGCGCTTCAATCCAGCATCCCCAAGGTCCACGGTTCGAACCAAGCACATATCCATTTACCTGCGTCCTCCACAGCATCCTTCCCTTGAAGGAGCCTCTTCAACTGATTAGAAGCTCTACTATCCAACGCCGACATTGCCACCATCCCCACTGCTTCATGACCATCTATATCCCAACCCTCCACAACAACAACCATGGCCAACATCATCAAGATACCCCTGCAGAGTATCTTACGCACGCTCACGGTTTTAGGAATCATCCCCGAGGAAAACTAAGCTGAAACACCCTAAAAACAGCAACTGACAAGTTCTCAATAAATATCAAACCCAAACCGCTACAAGCAAGCTTCGAAATGATAATACATCAGTTTGCTCACTGAAATAGTTTCACCACATATACCACACCATCGTCACTTCCTAGTCCCGACTCGCCCTGCCGCTTCAGTTGACTCCCCTCTATCTCGATAGCCCTCTTGCCGAGGTCTAACACCACCATCATAAGTTCCTCACTGATGAGAATCACAAACGGCTCAAGTGAACTGATATCTATACCAGATTTAACGGCTTTTGGAGAGAACTGAAGACCAAACGGTAAACACGCCATAAGAGGGAACCCCAACTCCTCCGGCATATGGGAACTCCTCTACGAAATCATTTGTCCATCAATCAATTGTCCAACCCTTCCTGTCTCTGCCAGTCACTTCATAGATATCCGAACCGGCCAGTGTTGTAGACCTCTCCAGCCCAGTTTATCAACGATTTCTGCTGCTGCTGCCCGAATGATATACCGCGGTACGTTTTCCTCGTATTTTGACTTGTATTTTCTACAAAATTCAACCACTGCAATATGGAGATTTACCTACATCTTGCCAATGGTATGTTGTTGTACACCATCACTGTGTCGTTTTCTACCCCCGACTTGAATTTCCCACTCTACCAAAACCATGAGATGCCTCTGGCCTTATTAACCATACCGGAAATGGGATTAGATGCTCTCAAGAAGAGTAAAGGGTTCATCCTTCAAGGCCGATTCTCGGCCGTACTTACATCTGCTGGTCTACTCCTATGATAATCCCGTCGTTCCTGTTTTTCCTGTGCCATTCTTGACCATGGTACGACAGTTTCTCGGCCACAGTTGAGTTGATAATAATTAGAGTGAACATTGATGGCACATCAACAGTAGTAGCCTGAATGAAAGACCAATCTTACCCAAGGCCCAGCAGGCGACTCTGATGCAATATGAACATTTTGGCCGATTCGATATCGGAGTACACGAGATTGCAGAAAGCATCATTGACCCACTGTATCTGGTTACATCCATAGGCTTAGATTGGCTCAGGCCCATGGACTAGGGATATACCGTAGAGATGATAAGGGTGCTCACGTACGGGGCAGTTAAGGTTGGACGTTTGATGATGGTAGATCACCATCATCACCATTGGTGATGAGGTCGAGGTAGATATCGGATAACAACGGAAGGCCATTGGAAATACGACAGACAACCACCTAATCCGAGGCGGTGGCGTTGAGGGAATCGAGGTATGCTTTAAGACTTAGAGTTTAAGTAAGTAATCACCAAGGCGCTCCTAAAAAACTTCGCTCGCCCCTTAATTATTCATTTTGCCCCTATGATGCTTACACAGTCCCTTAAGCGCCATGTACGTAGTTCATCTGCCACAACACTAAGACTTCGTATAAGAATGACAGCGTCACTTCTGTAACTCAGTATGGAAATATTCACTTCATTTTTATCGCTTGAAATACTCTCACTCTCCCTTAGAGAGTACTCTCCCTTTCAGTGCTCTTATACAGCACAAATCCGGCGAATACGAGGAGAATGGAGTGTGTGTCTACCACAACCACCACATCATGCACATTCGCATGAGTCGGACTCGGCTTCTTCAAGATCAGTTCTATCAGACGCAGCTAAAGCAGTCATATTAGAGCAGCTGCGACATGGTATGAAACCTTGGGAGACACCGAGATCATTAAGGGAACGCGGACTTCTCCCAGATAACAGTGCGATCACTAGTAACGATGTGAAAAATGCTGTATACAATGCTCGTGCATACATGAAACGGAGATTGGAGAACTACGAGGAGGGCACTGGCTTCACTATAGCTTCAGTAAGATCTTCGCTGAGGAACATTCAGATCGTCCTGAAGATCCTGACACTGCTTTCGGGTGACGGTACCGATCCAAGCAAGCATGGTGGGGTTCAAGCAAAAATATTTGGCTCGCCAAGGTAGTGTTATTTCCAAGCAACATGGCTTTATTCCAAGCAAATGGAGCTGTAATTCAAGCAATAGCGCGCCGATCTAGGTTGACTTATGCGAGCGGAAAACAGACCCTGTTCGTAACACAACAAGCAAATTATTCGGCTAAAATGCATATTTAAAAAACGGGATGACTACTGGATCACTACTAATGACTCACTACGGTAGATAGTTGACACTATCGACTTCACGAAGAAATAGAGTTTCGCTTCTCTCAGTTTTGGAAGTACAGAGGTATAGCATACGTTAAATAACATACCTGTACTGTACGGAGTACTGTATTTTGTTTATTCAAGAAACATCACAACTTCTGTTATTCACTCAACAATGTTGAGTTCGAGGAGCCATTCAAACTCATACTTCGTCGCTGAAGATTTGGACCCGAGCAAGTTACTTGCGACGGATCTTAATGCCGACAGTTTTGACATCCCACCAAGATGGGGTACGGATCTTGCGTTTTCCTGGAATAAATGCTCCGCAAACTAGCCATATAATGGAAAAGATACTCACCGAGAACATCCTGTGACACCCCTTGCCTTGCAGTCAGGTCCATTTCCGCATTGGACGTTGTGGAGCCTCCACAGCCCCCCACAGTGGAGGGTTTTGTCACTGCTCGTGAGGGCGCTGGAGGACAATGATCGGCATTCACGACCACGAGCACTTACATGAGTCGGCAGTCTCTCCGCCGGCCGTTGTCTTCTTCATCCTCTCTGACTTCTCAGCCATCGATTGCGAGAGGCTAGAAAGGACGAAAGTACCTATGGAGTGAAGTACTTTGACAGCGTAACTATTGCCTTGAAGACCCACTGGCATGAGACTCCTGATGTGCGTTTGCAACTCCCGAGTGTGAGAACGACATCGGGTTGGAAGGAGAGGAAGTACCTGAGTGACGTACAAATTTGACAGCGTAACTATTGCCTTGAAGACCCACTGGCACGAGACGCCTGAGGTGCGTTTGCGACTCCCGAGTGTGAGAACGACATCGGGTTTGAAGGAGCAGAGGACCCTGAGTCAATACGGGTGATGAACGGAAGGCAGGACTTGCAGGAGGAACTTGGAATGAATACGGCCGAGCTAGATGAGGCTTGAAGCTCACCTTGTGAAGCAGCCTGGCGTTGGCATCTGATATCTGTGGCATGCCGTCTTAGAGGGCCTTGACTTTTAGAAGGCCGACCAGGCCAGTTAACAGTTACCAAAGGGATAGAAGAAAATCCATTTCCACCGAGATCACCATCAAGGGCATGCGCAGCAATGTACTGATGGCTGCATGTTGTGAAAGACGCGTAAGAAGGGCAAGAGCATAACCACATTGAACAAGAACTCGGGTTCTCGGTCGTATCCACGACCAAAAAGTTAAGAATGATTTCTCGTTCGAACGCTTGGAAGTCGTTGTACAAGCCGTTGATACCTGCGGGATTGATGGCAACATTCAACCTCCGCCTGGCCTCCACAATGTCTCCTGCAGGCTTTTTGGAGCTGCTGACAACGTAAACTCTGAGGGGCTTGGCCACTCCAGGGAAGCTCACTAGAAATGGATGACAAATGGTGACTCCACGCGTTAGAGCACTGCGCAGACGATCGCGGGCCTTCACCTCCTGGATGGGTAACAAGTGGTCCAGACATGCCCTAGCTGCACCATCCACCCTAGTAGCAGCTCCTGTATCAATGTAGGTTGATAAAAAACTACGCAGCTTATGCACATAACCTCTGTCACCGCTGATGGTTTTGCATCTACTGAAGTCCAAGAAGGTACGGAGACGGCTGAATACAGACTCTGCCAAATTGCTCGTTGAGCTCGTCGTACTGAGGGGGGCCGAGAGGTTAAGTATCTCCAGCGGACATACAGAAGAGTGGATGACACCGAAGTCCTGTACTTGAAGCCACGATGATTGCCAGAGTCGCATAGCCTCGAGACCGTACCGTTCATAGATAGCGTCCAAAGCGAGCTGCGCGTACATCTGATACATGGCGGTTCCAGCACAAATTAAGAGCCAGTCGAGCCTTGTGCGTACAAAATTTTTGTACGAGCTCTTATTGCCCTCCAAAGGCGCTGGAGCTCTATCCACTCGCTGTTTAGCATGGAAGTGACAGCGCTGAGCTACAATGTTGGGAAAGCACATCTTCGTGCCCCGCACAATCGCGGGGGCGGAATCGCTTACGAGCCTGACTGGTAGAATCGGCGACTTGTGGAAGGCCATGGCCATTCTCTGGAAGACCTCAAGCATATGACGGACAGCTTGCTTATTCTCGGTGAGTGAGGGGCAAACCAACAAAGGGCAAGCCGCGTTTCGTAGCTGCTTCGCGTTTGGGTTTGCAATTCGCATAGCCGATAGGATAATGACGCAAATGCTTCCACTGCGGAAGCTTCGGAAGTGACCATCTATGCAGATGGTCAGCCCCGCCGGCTTGAATATGTTAGTCGCTGGGCCTTTCCTCAGAAACTGCGCCGTAGGGTCTGTGGCGTTGAAGAGACTGGCGACTGCTCCTCTGGACGAAATAACAACAGAGCTCTTACGAGGTTTGTCCTCCCGCCTCTCGATACTGAGCTCATACCAGTGTCCCAAAAGGGGTGAGCTATGACGAGCATTCAGCGGAGTGCCTCGAAGCTGTTCAGCTATGTTGGATAAGTCGGTGGTAGTGAGCTTTTTGAAGTCTTGCAAACGAACTTCCTCAAGCAGATCGTCGAAAGTAGTAGCTCGCTGACCGTCTCGCCTCAAAATATGCTTTCGATGATTCGCTAGATACTGCTGTATCTTAGGGGGTGTATATAACATGACGATGTCGTCCCAGGAGCGTCCGAATATATCGCGCATCTACAGAAAAAGTACATCACATGATTTCCGTTTATTGATCGACGCGGGGTTGAAAGTTTCTCACTTTTGCGAAGACCTGCATTGGCGTTTTCTCCTTCAGGAGATCGTCCACCTTGGCCTGCATATCTTGAGGCAACTTGATATTACCAGTGGGTGTGTGAGTGATTTCCTCGCCACTGTGATCACGTTCGCTAATGAAGATATCAGCGAAGTGAGGCGGTCTGAAATCAACCTTCACCTGAAGCAGGAGAAGTATGGATAGTAATGTGTCTTAGGAAGTGAAAAATACAAACGTCTTCGCTAGGTGAAAGTTTTCGACATCGGGAATGTACATTACCTGTCTCTTGCAATCCCTATGAGCCGCACATCTGTATACTCGCTGTTTTGCACGGCCACGACCACTGGTGAAAATACTGGTGAGTTTGTACCCCACGAGGCTCTCCACATCTGCCGTCAGAGTTGACGGCCAGAAATTGTCCCTCCCTAGTCCTTTGGGATCGTCTACGTTGAGCCCAAATTGATGAAAAGTTATCGTTCTCCAGAGCGGACCGTACTTGACGGAGTTAGCAGGGGCCATAAACGAAGGAGGGAAGGAACACAAAGTACTGTCCGACTCCTAGTATTGGTCATACCTGAGACTTCCCCGACATGGCAATGCAATGATTGTACTCTTCAGCGAAAGGCCTCCAGCTTTGAGGAAACACAAGCTTGAAGCAGTGTAAGATTTTTGGGCTGAAAGTCTTCGGCTAAGACTACGTAGATTTTTAACCATCTGCACCGCAATAACATTAACGCATTCGCAGCCGGAACTTCCTCATTGTATGTTGGGTACTATCCCGAAAATGCCATGGCCGAAATGTGAACCCGGGCGCGCGCTAGTTCGGAGAACTTTTTTTGGGCGAGCGACACCGCATGCTTGAGCTCCCACCCTCTGTCTTGGAAAAAACGAATCACCCCTGCTTTCTGCCTTGACGACGCTATCATCCCCGGAGGTTTCTTCTATTTCGTATTCTCCTGCACGAGGCTACTGCGAGCGAACACCGGATACGACGTGATTAACTGTGACTATACGCAGTCTCCAAACTGGTTGGGACTTCCCCTCCTTATTCTCGGAGGTTTGGATCCTACCGGTGACCTCAAACCTGTCGCCTTCGCCATGGCGAGCGACGAAACACATGAATCGTCTTCAGAGTCCTCAGAAGCGATCAACGCCATGCTCAACTGCTTCATACATCATCCGATCCTCATATCATAGTATCTGATAAGGCGGAGGCTTTCAGCAAAGCCTACCGTGAGGTGAGCCGAGCATTAATTCACTGTTACTGTTGGTTCATAACGCAGGGAACTCATTTTTTCAATAGTGGTCATTATGGTCGTCGTACATTGTGTTGCCGGTCGTTGTGGTGATTGTGATTGTGGCCTCGGTGATAATCGTAGTAGTCATAGGCGCGAGTGATATCCGATCATCTCAATGTCCGTCCGTCAATTGTCCTCTCAGAGGACTCCTCTGTAAGGTAGCATGAACTATAGGTGTTTAGATCCCCTTCGTCAAAGGGCCTTTGGTAACAACGTCTGGTTGGTGTCCTGTACGTTAATTACTTCATCTTGCAAAGGCTTATTTCATTCTCGGTGAAATCAATCCCATCCATTAATCCATTGGAATGTATGGATCGTACGCACCGATCAGTGTATATATTCACCTGCGTTAGAGGCGAACAACTTTATTGAAAACCCAGGCTGCATTGAGAATGAAAGTCGACGACGGAAGAACCTGCTGAAGTGTGTTGGACCGAATAGCCCCAATCTGTAACAGATAATCTGTTAATAGTCGACCGCTACGCGATATCGGTCATCATAACATAGACTCACATGACAGTGTCATGTGAGTCTGAGCAACTGGTCATCTGATGTCAGAGGGATACGTAGGTGTAACACCTAATTCGCGGGTCGACAGTGTCATACGTAGGATTATTTTCTGAATTTAGGCGGATATCGTCTTCACTGAAAATAATGTGGCGAGTTCAGGATTGGCTCGTGACCATGTCGTTCTGAACTCGCTATGTCGTTCGTTTCTTGAGAAATACGGGTCGTAGTAGTCATTCTTATTAGTATTTTGTAGTTATTGTATACAGATACTCTACCGATTGGGAAGGTTACTTTCGCGATTGTGATGCTAGATGTCGCGACGCTTACATTCTCAGAGCCTCTGAGTCGGAGGATAATCCTCTGCACCACCGAGCATTTCTTTGAGCAACTCCACAGCGGCTGTGGGGGTGGGATCCGCCACGGCAAAGTCCGCATTACTGCAGGTCACAGCCATGGTAGCGAGGATATCCCTCCAGGCTCCCCGGAACCGCTCCAACGCGGCTCTTTGTGTCGCGGCTGGTCTCTTACCAGCAGACTTGGAGCTCAAGACTATTGCAGCCGTAAGGCTGTCCGCACTTGGCTGTGCGAGGGCCCTAGACCAGACACTCGCGGTCAGAGGTCTGACTGTAACAGAGAGTCAAGATAGTCTGGACAAGGTCCAGCACTGGCGGGGTCTGCCTATCTTACCATGGCAACCTTGGGTCAAGACTACGATCCGGGACAAAGAAAGAGCCAAGAGCTATGCGCAGGCGGCTCTCCTCTCCGGAAATGCCATCTTTACCGATGGCTCGAGGGTCAAAGACCGTAAGACCGGTGCTGGAATGGTGGTATATCGTAAGGGTGTAGAAGTTCATTCCAACTACTGGAAACTCTCTCCTTACGCTACTATTACGGACTGTGAACTCCTCGGAGTTCTTGAGGCAGTCCGCTGGGTTATCCTGACGACGGAAGGAGAGGAAGAATGGGCAGTCTTCACGGACTCTCAAGCAGTACTCAAGATCCTGTCGTCGAGATCTACGGTGGCTCGGCGGGACAAAGCGAGACAGATCACTCTGCTCTTAGCTGAAATCCCGGACAAGGTTACCTTCCACTGGGTGCCTGGTCACAGTGGCATGTTTGCTAATGGCCGAGCCGATGAATTGGCAGCCAAGGGTGCCTCCATGATGGAAGTCTCTGCGGAGACGGAAATCAGTGTGAAGACCCTTAGGCGTTATCAGGCCGAAGCCGGGCGTCTGGCACTGCGTAAGTGGTGGTCAGACAAACGGGCCGGTCTAGGCACTTGCGTCAATGACTTCTTCTACTGTGCCTCGCATGCGAGGCTATGGAGTCGAGGGGAAGTTACACTCGCTGGCAGTGCCGTGGTTTTTGGTAGGGCTCCCACTCCTGCGCATCTTCACAGGTGTGGAGTAATCGCCTCCCCAGAATGTGATTGCGGAGCTCCGATAGGGGATGTTAGACATCTCCTCCGTTCCTGTCCACTCCTAGAGCAGGCTAGGAAACGGGTCAAAAGTGGTGTACCCTATCACTTCTATAAAATGGTTGTCGATTTAAAGCGGCGCAAGGCCTTCAATCGGCTGTTTTTGTCCCTCATGCAGCATCTAGATGCTCGCAGGGGTTTGCTGTAGCTGCCACACATTCTCGGGCTGGTGCAGCTGTATATCGTTTCCAAGTCTTCGTTCGCTCCGCACTGTATTCTTTGCATGTTGCTGTAAAGAAAAAAAAGAAAAAAAAGAAAAAAAAGAAGAAAAAGCAGCAACAGCAGCTGGGGCAGAATCGAGCCGTTCTAAACACTCGCTGAGGGATGAAGGCCAAGAGGAGTGAAGGAATCAAGAGACGAGGTCGATGGCCGCAGCCTTAGAGCAGGAGAACGTGATTGTTGTATCATGTACTGCTCGTAATTAAGGACCGTTTCAATCTGAGTCTTGAGGACTTGCAATTCCTCAAGATATATCAGGATCGATCCCGGCAAGTTGCATTTTACCTGGTTTATGAACCGCAGAGGTTCTGGGAGTTGATGAAGCACGGATCTTGGGCACCACGAGCAAGAGGCTGGTGGTAATCCTATATTATAATTCCTTAGTAGACAGCTTCCGTGTGAACTTGGTCCACTTCCTGCTGCCGGTTGCCGAGTTTCGGCCCGAGACTCTCGGGGATCTCGACGCCCTGGATGCTCAACAGGGTATTCAACAGACAATATCTGCAAGTGGGGCCGATATGCCATCCTGCGAGAGCAGCACATCAGCTATGTTGTCAGGGAGGACTCTGATCATTGGGCTGTGATAGGATATAGGCTGGTCAACAGTCCCTTAGATGGCATATCCGCCCCAGTAGATAAGTTGATCCTCCCATCTCGTGTCCATGCATATGCGCTCATGCACGTCTTGAAGTGGCATATCTGCTTCTTTCATCCTTCTCACTCCTATTTAGGTATGGCATAGCTGCCCTTACCATCCTCCTCACGCGGAGTTAGTAGTGGCATACCCGCCCCTCTCATGCTTCTCACCCACAGTTAGGAGTCGAATAAACGTCTCTTGCACCCCTCTGCTCCCCATTTGCGAGTGGCATAGGTGCCCCTCTTCACCCATCAATCCTCCAACACAGAATTACTCCATGACTCTTAGGTCACGCTGGTTTATAGCAGCAGAAGTCAGGAAGGTGAGGGGGGGAAGGGGTATCATTGGACTCGCAGGCGGTCGAAGTTTTTGCCGCTTGGATGCAGTCATTCATTGTCGATATTGGTGCATCACATCATCGAATAGCATAGTACCTCTGCAGTGAGCTTCAGGGGGCTCGCATTTGAAGCCACGACATGGACGATGCGAAATTGAATCCTTCGAAGGCGAATAGCGTTTTGGATTCCCATCATAAACAATCACGGGTCAACAACTCACGGACGATGAGTGAGTGCGTGCTCGGTGTGTTGGGCCGTGGTCGTCGTCAGCTTTGACGGTCATGTCACAAGTAGATTTGTGTTGGTTGGAAAAGGTAGTTCGTGAAGAAGCCGAGCTTACGGCTATCACCCGTCACGTGACGTGGTGACGTGGTGTAAAGTATTCACGGAACGTCTCTTTCATGGGTCACGAAGTGGCCGTGTTAGTAGTAACACCCGCACTGGTTGACTCAACAACACTTGGGATAGCCATAATAGGTGTGTGTGTGTGTGTGTAACTGGTGCCGGGCATTACGGGCCTAGTGGCCTATCGCCCTTAAACATACAATCGCCGACTCCAGTGGTCACGAGAGGCTCAACGACAGCTCCCCAAGAAAACAATAGATGAGCGAGAAAAGCAATGAATGAATGATGAAGTCAGGTCAATGGTATGATGTAAACAGTAGAGTAGAGCTTGAGACAGCTAAATGAGGCAACGAGAAAGTTTAGCGATGCTAAATGCCTGCTGCATAGACTCCTTGTCAGTGTAGAGCAGTAAGTAATGCTTGATATCCGTGGGGGGATAATAACCGGGGAATGACGAGGATGAAGTTGCAAAAAGGCCGGGCATGAGAGTAGTTACTACTCAGTAGTAGGTGTTGTATTGAGTGCGGAGCACTATGACATGCTGAGGACGTAGAGGGTCGGGTGAATGGGAGCACACCAAGCCGTAGGCGGCACAACAGACTCTGGCCGTTGCGGGTGAAGGTGTGTAGGGCATCATTAGTCCAAGAGTAGCGTAGATGAACGGCAGGTGACTCTCTGACCCTGGTGACGGCCATCATGGTAAAGGTGAGCATTCCTCGTGCAGGCGGTGGCGTTGTTGGAGACGGAGGTGAGCGAGAGTGCTACTCCACTTTTCTCGAGGGAAGACTGGTGGCATGAGTACTTGGGCTCGAGCGCGTTCATCTACCGCATCATGGGGTCCAAAACCCACGTGGGCCTTCATCCATTGGAGCGTGAGTGAACCTTCTGCGTATCGCACCCGAAGAGGGAGAAGTGACCAGACTTGGAGAAGTAGAGGTCGTGTATACACAGAAGTATCCCATTACTGTCGCTGTGCTGATCTCAACTCTCTGGAGTACTCGCTTGAGGTCTCCCAATGATGGCGTCGTAATATGTCTCAGGGTAGACCTGCTCGTACTCGTGTGTAAATGACCCATCGGTTTTTCCCAAGTCATGGAGACTCCAATGTGCGATTCCAATAGGGCTTGCATGTATCCAGTTTTGTCCGATATTCTTCCCATGAGGCTTTGGCATAATTCCACGTAGATACTCTCCGAGGTGGTCTCGGGATGAATAATGGCTGCGTAGTAAGAGACCAGCGAATCTTCAATGGTGAATGATCTGAGTTCGCAGGGATGGTGTGCGTCGAGGTCTCCCACCTCTAGAACTTGCGGAGATCCGATCTGCGGGAGATCGACGGTCGTTAAGTCCATTGCCGGTCGGAAATAGATGTTACAAATAGTAACCAAATTCGAATACGGTAGGTTTAGTAAGGTAACCCCCAACGCCATATATGCGTTCTGAGTGTCGACATAGGCATACTGGTGTGTGGTACGATATGTAAATAACATAATGTAATGCCATTGCGGATCAGGCATACTAGACCACCACTCAGTCTCCCCCGTGCTGCTAGTCTTGCCCCTGGTCTATGTGCCACCGAATAGCCTGGGAAGTTTAGAGGACTCGTCTCCGAATGATGTGTTTCTTGAGGACATCCCACATCTACCTTCGCTTATTTAAGATACCGTAATAACTCCGAACGGCTAGACTGTAGACCACCAACGTTGTAGGAGAGGACCGTTAGAGTATGTCGTGTCCACGATATACCACGATAAAACTGCTACATGACTTATATTTAATTGACACTAGAAAGATCGATAACACTTAATATAGCTAAGCGGGGACTAACGCCGTCATCGAGCCATCCTCGGTGATCACACTCGTAGAGTGGATGTATGAGTGATGGCAAGCCGGCCCCAGTTTCGATCTGACCAACCTTGGCCAGTGACCCCCTCGCCACGATCAGGCACATAATAGGTAATAAGGCTTCTTATCTTATCCATTTCAGCCTGAGGGCTGCGAGCCGTTTCATGCAACGAATAATGGGCGAGCGAGATTCGTGCATACGCGCGCGAACAGGCCGCCACGCCGTAGGGAGCGGGCACATCGGGATATTTTCGAGCGAGGGAGCTTTGATGTTGAAATATATTGGCCATCCTGTTACAGGATTCCTGTATTGTTTTGAGCTTTGGAAACTTTCCATCTCCACCGTGTTGAATCGATAGTGACACTGGCATCAACTGAGCTACGACAAGTATAATAGGTTCGCGTTTCCTTCCGCAACGACAACACATGATCAGATGGTTGTGCGTCCGATCGTGCGTTCCACAATGCGTGGCTGCGGAGCGATCGAGGTCATGTTTATGAAAAATGACTGGTTCCAATGAAGGAGCCTCTATGCTTGCCTCGAGTAGTATTCGGCGAAAACCGGGAATCTTTTCCTATCAAACAATGGGTATTTGAAACTCAGAGCCTCACTCTGCCAAGCCTCATCTACCTTGCGATAGTGTCGACTGCTTTGGATTAGTATCGCTGGTTGAGAGGCGAAGGCAGAGTTCCGTAGAAGGTGAAAAGAATGGTCCAGATGATGCAGGGAGACAAAGGTGATTGTGTGAGGGAGGTGCTTCAGCGTGCATCCTACCGCTCCGCGATAATCGATAAAATATCTGTGATGCAATTCGCTCTTATTCAAAGTGATCTTGTTTGGCGGTTTCTTCCTTCTTGGCCTTAGCATAATGCCAGTAACTTATCCACAATATATCAGACAAGTGCAGTGACAGGAGTCTTTGTTAATATTTGTGTACAGCTTTTCTCTCCCTGAGTGGTTCTAGGACCTAGGACGACTCAGGGAGAGAATAGGGCCTAGAATCTAGATGGTGTCCATTCTCTGGGATGAAATCCTAGTCCCTAGCGTAGTGATGTTTTGACAGATCTCCGTTATTTCGCGAAGTGCATCGGTCATCCGGAGTATCCAACGCATTCGCACTCTCCTCTGTAGCTTTTGCCCGTGTTGCCTCCTTCTCCATGGCAGGAACTCGAAGCGACTCCATCTCCTCAGTGGTCACCACTGATACCTACGTCGAAAGAGTTATCGATAACATTGGTTACGGCAAGTTTCAATACTGGCTCCTTGTCCTCTGTTCGGTCGGTTACTTTGCGATATGCGCTGAGTTGCTCGTTGTGGTATTCATCCAAGGCGAGATCATGGAGGAGTATCATCTTAGTCAAACCGGATACGCTTTCTTCCCCTTCCTGACTTCGCTCCTATCGATGATCTCCTCGACACTGTTTGGGTACCTTAGCGATTGTATCGGTCGTAAGTGGCCGTTCGTTATTACTTTGCTTATTTCCGCTCTGGCTGGTATTGCCTCCGCCTTTTCCTGGAGCTTCTGGTCTCTGGTCATGTTCCGCTGTATCGTTGCTATTGGTCTCGGTGGACTCACTTCGTTGGACTATCTCGTCTACGTTGAGTTCACACCTCAGTCCCGAAGATGCCTCTACTCTACTGTAGTCTTCATTGGAGGTTGTCTCGGTGTCCTCTACTTGGCCGGGGTTAATCTTGTCAACCTTTCCTTCTCCGGAATCCCACAATGGAGAGTTCTTCTTATCCTGGCCGCGGCGCCCCTGCTCCCAACTGGGATACTCAGGTGGTACTTCCGTTGTGAGACTCCGCGATATCTGATGTCGCGAAGGAAACTTTCCGAGGCTCATATGGTGCTGGTCCATATGGCTAAAGAAAATAAGTGTGACTCTGCAACGGTCCCGCCTCTCGATGAATTCACTTGTAGAGCTCAGGAGGAGGCTGTCGGTAAGGTGTCGTCATCTGAGTCGGAGAAGCTCGGCTTTTTCGAGGCACTCGGAAAGATTTATCATGGTGAAGAGTTTGCCCGAGCTACTATTCCATTATGTTTGATTTGGTTATTGCAGGCTACTGCCTATTGGGGTCTCACACTTTTCCTGCCAGGCTTCCTGGTCGAATCTGGTCTCAACCCAAATTTTACGCTCTTTCTGATGGTCCTTTGTGAACTCCCTGGTACAGCAGTTATCGCCGTGCTGCTGAAGAAGATGTCCATGAGTGTATGTCTTCGTATCTTCCAAGGATGTGCATGCTTGGCCTGCCTCTGGTGCACCTTAGCTTCGTATTTCAATGCCCCTGTCGTAGTAGCTGTTGCTTCGTGCGCTATTTACTTCTTCCTAATCCCCTGTTGGTGCATTATTTACGTTATAACTCCCTCCGTCTATCCTCCACGCTATCGAGGTTCAGCTTCAGGGATGCTCACCGCAGTGGCTGGTGTGACTGGGGTTGTTTCCCCGTTCATATCAGCTGCGATCTCCGAGTCGTCTGAGGGACGTCAATGGCTCTATATGGCAGTCTGGACGGTAGTGGTTGGTGTCAACTTCCTCGTTGCCCTCATTTGGCTGAAGATCAAGAACGAAAGAAAGAATAACTCTTGAGTATGCACAGCCGTATGTTCACAAGCAGTTGGTTGGATTTCTGCTGTAAATCGTTTGACTAAGGCTGTCTAGTGTTCTTAAAGGCTTTACTTACTGCTATTTCGGGACGTCTCCGTTCACTCCCATTAGTGAAAGTCTTTTTTGTTGTGTTGAAAATCTTCACGGTGCGATAGGGTGTTTGAAGGGTATCTTGATTCCCTGTAGTTAAATGCATTTCTAGGTTAGTACTATCTTGGGGTCGATATGCCATCGGTTGCGAGGGCGCGTATCTCAGGTAGTAGGATACGAATTAGGGTACGTCTCTGTTCATTTCAATTATCTAAAACGCTTTCGGGTTGTGTTGAAATTCTCCGTGGTGCGATACAGTATGTGGAGTGTATACTCATGATCTGTGGCAGAACGAATTTTCAGGTCAGTAGTATCTTGGGGCGGGTATGCCATCGGATGATGAGCAACTAGATACAATAGAGGTTCTACTGAGGCACGTTATCCGTTTGGAGCGATGGAGCATAGTGCAATTCTATGGTTCCGAAAATGAATTGCATGATGAGTATGTGTTATTGTTCGCGTGTCTCCTGAGCATGCGTAGGACACATGATTTGTGACGCGCATGCCTTCGTGTCTTGCCTCCCTACTGCTTTATCGAGAGTAACATGACTTCAAGATCTACAGTTGGAGTTGCACGAGTCTCACCCAAACAAACTCATGAACTCCTCTTGGGTTTTCGTAGTGTTTATCTCTCCTCAAGGCGGCTTTTAGTTGTTGCGCTCCTGCTTGCAACATGTGGTGTCGTCAATATGGCGCCGTGTCACCTTAGCTTTCTTCCCAAGGGATGAACGTTTTGCCACCGAGGGGAAGATGCCGTATGGCAACAAGTATGGCGGTTCGAATACTGCTTTGGCAATTTTATGCTGCCTTTTCGAACATCTGATGATCACATGTTGTTCAATACATCAAGGGCTGAAGAGCTCACAGCCGACATTATACTCTTGTGTTTTTCTCGTGGATCCTATCACGTCGTAGATTATCTCAGTTCGAACTCTCCTGATGTTTGGATCTCGCAAGCTATCAACCACGGCAACGGCTAACGACTTATCCTACGTGGAGGGGCTCATCGATGTCATCGGCTACGGTAGATTTCAGTACTGGCTGCTACTGCTCTGTTCAGTGGGATACTTTGCGGTATGCTCGGAACTTCTGGTTGTGGTGTTCATCCAACGTCAAGTCATGGAGGAGTACAACCTTACTCCAACAAGGTACGCCTTCTTCCCCTTCCTGACTTCGCTCCTATCGATGATCTCCTCGACACTGTTCGGATATCTGAGCGATCGTATCGGTCGTAAGTGGCCGTTCGTTATTACGCTTCTCATCTCGGCTGTAGCTGGTATTGCCTCCGCCTTCTCCTGGAGCTTCTGGTCTCTGGTCATGTTTCGCTGCATCGTCGCTATTGGTCTCGGTGGACTCTCCTCGTTGGACTATCTCATCTACGTGGAGTTCACACCACAGTCTCGTAGATGCCTCTACTCAACTATCGTCTTCATTGGGGGCTGTCTCGGTGTCCTCTATTTGGCCGGGGTTAACCTTGCTAACCTCTCCTTCTCCGGTATCCCACAATGGAGAGTTCTTCTTGTTCTGGCCGCGGCGCCTCTGCTTCCGACTGCCATCCTTAGGTGGTACTTCCGTTGCGAGACTCCGCGATATTTGATGTCTCGAAGGAAGGTATCCGAGGCTCATAAGGTGCTTGTCCACATGGCCCACAAGAATAACAGCGGTGAGGATGCAGTCCCGACTCTCGACGAGTTCTCTTCCAGGACCAAAGAGGAGGCCGCTGGTGAACAGTTCTCGCTTGAGACGGGACGATTCGGCTTCGGAGAAGCGCTTAGATACATATACCACGGAGAAGAGTTTGCCCGAGCTACTATTCCATTATGTTTGATTTGGTTACTGCAGGCCACTGCCTATTGGGGTCTCACACTTTTCCTGCCAGGCTTCCTGGTTCAATCTGGTCTCAACCCAAATTTTACGCTCTTTTTGATGGTCCTTTGTGAACTCCCCGGTACAGCAGTTATCGCCGTGCTGCTGAAGAAGATGTCGATGAGTGTATGTCTTCGTATCTTCGAAGGGTGTGCATGCTTGGCCTGCCTCTGGTGCACCTTAGCTTCGTATTTCGGTGCTTCAGTCGTAGTAGCTGTTGCTTCGTGCGCTATTTACTTTTTCCTCATCCCTTGTTGGTGTATCATCTTCGTACTTACTCCAGCAGTCTATCCACCACGTTATCGTGGTTCAGCTTCAGGGATGCTCAGCGCCATCGCTGGCCTGACGGGCGTAGTGTCCCCGTTCATATCGGCGACGGTTTCTGAGTCGTCTCGTGGTCGCCAGTGGCTCTATATGGCGGTCTGGACGGTGGTCATTGGTCTGAACTTTCTCGTGGCTCTTTTATGGTTGAAGGTTAAGAACGAAAGGAAATTTGATTCATAAGTGTGGGATAAGGATATCACACTTCAGATTGTTGTGTCGAGCGAATGAACGCGGATTTTAACCAGATGGTACTCAACATATCTAGTCGTCACCCTCATAGGGATTAAAGAGATTTTTCTATGCTTGAATGTTGTGTTTAAAGACTCCACGATGAAAGCTATGGTTGGTAGAGATACCCTTCTCATTACCATCTTTCTGGGCCCTTCGAGAAATGAGTAACCCTATAACCCTCACACCCATTCATCTGCACGCTGTTTCTCACGCTTTTACACGTCCACCTTTCTCTCTGCTCGGTTGATTCCAGTCACGACGTGTCTAATAATCCTTTTATGAACCGTCGCTGATCAGACATTGCCGGGGAAGTTATTCGCAGCGAATAATTATAATGCCACTTCGAAATGTGTAGACCTAAGCGTGCCGATAGAATGTTAAACGCATGAGACTCTTCACAATAAGCAACGCTCTGTACTCTATGGAGATCAATGGTACAAGTAACTTAGAATAACTTATGGCCTACCGTGGAGGGTTGCGAATCCCGAGGCAGCGAGTCTAAACAACAGGAACACGAGCCATAAGCATGACAAGTGTTGCGAGTATATCGTACACGTCACATCTCTCATGCCATACTCAAGGCCACATTGCATACAATGAAACATAACAATATTTAACTGGTAAATTAAAAACATTAGTTGTTTTTGAACCATGAGATATCATCATCCTGGGCCTCGCGACGACCTCTCTCAGTGAACATGGTGTATCTGTCATTCCATCTGACCTTTCAGACAACCTCGATGGTGATGCTAATGTTTCTACGCATCTCCGGTGATGGGCTCTAATACACCCAATTCCTTCCCCACAGACACGAATGCGGCCACCGCCTTCTGCAGCTGTTTTTCAGTATGCGCCGCGGAAAGTTGTACCTAATCGTTCAACACTCTGTAAAACAACAATCACAGCGTCACTCACTCTGATTCTGGCTTGGCCTTTGGGTACAACAGGGTAACTAAACCCAATGACGTAGATATCCCTATCCAGGAGGGCGTCAGCAAACTGAGTCGCGAGCTTAGCATCACCGAGGAGGACGGGGACGATGGGACAACGCGAGTCGCCCAACACGGTAAAACCAGCACGGTTGAGAGCTTTGCTGAGAGAAATACGGCTGTACACAGCTCAAGCCATAACTCAGATTTACCGGAAATACTCCGTATTCTTCGCCAGCTTCTCCTGAAGCTCCGGACTTTCCTCCAACTTCTCAAAGGCGACCTGAAGACCAAATATCACCACGCTGTTCCTGAATAAAACCTACTTGACTGGCACCGACAACGCTGGGAGCCACCGAGTTGCTGAACAGATAAGGGCGTGCCTTTTGACGCATCACTTCAATGATATCAGAAGACGCTGCCGTATATCCACCGGTCGCACCACCTGATACCGAGGTGCAGTCAACATGACAATATATTCCACAGCAGAATGAATAAATCCATTGAATGAGACGCCACTGGTAATAAGACCTACCGAGAGCCTTCCCCAACGTCGAGTTTATGATGTCCACTTTGACGCCATACATATCAGGAGTACCGCGACCATTGGCACCGAAGACTCCAGTGGCGTGGCATTCATCCACCATAACATAGGTATTAGGATACCTACAACAGGGGTACTATGACAAAGACCTTGTGTAGCATGTGGGAGTACTTGTGGGCTAACTCGACGATCTTGTCGAGTGGAGCGATATCACCGTCCATTGAGAAAACCCCATCCGTAACAATCAGGCGGATCTGAAAGTTGTAATAGGATCACGAAAGGCAACTTCATGTATACTTTCGCATTGCTAGCCTCCTTAATTTTGGCCTCCAAGTCCTGCATGTCCAGATGATTATATCTGCAGAAGAACGAGATCCACCAAAGTGAATATACCCTACCCGTAAATTGAACCCGAAGTCCTCACCTTGACAACGTGACGACATATCCATTGGACCAACATACCACACAACTACAAGTCCACCGTACTTACCTGAACCTTTGGGCCTTGCACAGTCTTATTCCATCAATGATGCTCGCATGATTCAAGACATCCGAGATCACAGCGTCTTCAGCACTCAACAACGTCTCGAATATACCACCATTTGCATCGAAACACGAAGGAAATAAAATGCAATCCTCCATACCGTGAAACTGAACAAGCACGAATCACCAACGAGTATAAACCAGACAATACAGACCTTTGCAATGGTCCTCTCAAGTTTCTTATGAATATCCTGAGTTCCACAGATAAATCTCACACTGCTCAAACCAAACCCATGAGTCTTCAGTGTTTCCGCAGCCGCAGCGACCAACTGTGGATCGTTAGCAAGACCGAGGTAATTGTTGGCACCTCGAAAGACAACAATGTCAACTTCAACCAGCACGACAACACAGGTACTTACAAAAATTCAGAATATCGCGTTGCTTGCCACCCTCAACGTGGAGGCTCGCTCCCTGTGGACTTGTGATGATACGCTCCGATTTATACCTAGTAACACAATAACAATCATCTCAAACATTTCACTTACGTTCCTGTCGATTTGGCTTCCTCCACTACTGCCTTCAGTTTATCCGCCAGCGCACCATGAGTAGCAAAACCACGGGATAACGTCAGGACAGAATAGTGAGGAAGACGAGGGAGAATCGCAACAGACGCCAGACAATGGGAGATCATCTTGGAAATGAAAAACTATTGACGAGAGTTAGTGACAAACGGATCACTTGGGATTAAAACATAACGAAACTTGAAGCACTGCACTCAAGCTAGCTGCTCAGCTCATCCATGGCCACGCAATATTTCCATACCATTCCTTTCTCAATTCTGGATCCCCTCGAACACAATTGATCTACTGAGCTGCACTGAACTCATCAGGTCAGAGATCACTTTCTACTGATTATCCAAGAATGGTTATTTTTAGCGACTCGCTACCAGCGAGTGACGTCAGGGCAGGCCTCCTTTTTAGTGTTATAATGTGAACAATACAGACAATTGGACATACCAGGATAAACAAGGAGCTGCGGCCTGTTAACAGCGGCTAATGTCGAAACGTGTAATACTTTTTAATCGCAGATTTCTCTTCGACTGATGATGTAGCAACGGGTGGTGACTCAAACGAAATCGTGATAATTTTGTGGCGCGTGAAGACGTCGAATCATTAAGAGCCGTTCTTTGCATTCCAACCTTCCTTTGTGGGGAAATGTTGACGCTAGACTCGGCAGAAACTGATTATGAACCTTGTCGGAGTTGAGGTTGTCTTTCACTGAGTTCGCAATGTAATTCTTAGCAGTGTAATGCATTACTATGGGTAATCCGGAAGGGAAAGCCAAAACCCTCTGGCCAAGCATATCGCCAAAAAGCTCGAGTCCACTGGACTCAGTCCAGATACAATCATAGTCTTTGCGATACGCATGCACATAGCGTAAGCTACCCTGCGCAGCACAACTAAGCTTCAAATCGAGAGCCCTGACACCTCCGATCGATCATTTTCGATGGGTTGTGGATCAACATGCGTATTATACTGCGAACACAGTCGGCTTGTCAGTTCGACGTTACAACAACCCTCGGGACATCACTTAGCAGGGGCTTACTGCGATGAGCCAGATGGGCGTATAGAGCCAGTGCATCCTGGAAAGCGCTTATAGAAAGCGGCGGCTTCCATCAGACGTAAGGGCCGACTCCTGAAGAGTAGCCACAAATCAAAATGATGCGTAGTAGGCCTATTTCTAATCCGTGTCAGAGGGATTCTCTATTCGCGATGAACGGCCAGGACCTGCGTCACAATGTGTAGTCTTAACAAGCGCAAGGGAGACGGTAGCATCCAAGCTGGCGTTGTTGACGCAGAATATACATTTATGGACGGATTTTCATGAGAAAACTTGGTTTACGGATACTCCTAAGAATTATAAAAAATTCAAGGAAATCAGTAAAATTCCAAAATTTCATTAACCGGAGCAAACAGTTTCGATTTTCGACACATCGCGCCCAACATGACCTATTTTGTGTCATCCACACCTGACCTAAAGATACTGTTGCCATCATCATCGTAATTCGCGGATAACCGTGGAACCCGCAAACTTTGCGGGTTCTTGGCTTCAAGACGAACAAATGATGAGAAGTTCTCATTGTATTCCACGCCTACTGAAGTACGACCTACTATGACACCAACACAAATAATATATGATATTGACCATTAATACTTGTTACAGAGTATTGTTTCTGCTATACCATCTCTCGGCTCTGAGTTTCCATAGAGTGACACGAATGTGCGGTGTTTTCCACCCTATTTTGATACTCGCCTGCCAATGGTAGGCTGTTATTACCATCGTCACCAGCAGCACCACCTCCACCAAAAGCACCTTTGATACAGGAGGGTTTCAAGTCTCCTAGCAGCGCAGTACCGCAGTATTGATACACTAGTACAAAACCCTCTATGAACACCTTTAACAAATACCATATTTTTCTGAGTCTGCGCATACTTGTTGATAAGTTCTATAAGCAAGTTTTAGAAACAAATAAAACGCAGTAAGTTCGTGATATTGTCATATATCACGTGCAGTATCTTTACCTGACATACATATCACCGAAAGTACACTCTGAAATACGGACTACAATATCGTACCACTCTCTTCTTTCTTCGGACTATTTTCATGTACTCGCAGACTTCCCTCTTCAGAGAAGCGTACCAAATGACGGCATACGACCCTGGCGAAACGCCTACCACCATGTTCTTCATCAACTATGACTGGCTGTTGCGGCAAGAAAGTAGACAGTGTTGCGGGAACACTGAAAGTTACCGACTCTCCGGTACTGCAGTCAATGCCACTCACTTTGCGAATACTCATGCAAAAACCAAATGCAACTAACAACATGAGGAAATGAAAGCAAAAACGAGATAACAACCAGTAACACTCATTGGAATAGTCTCAAAGACACTAATCTAAAAGCCACGCTATGAAAAAAAACTACACGCTAGTAGCTCACTCCTTGAATTCCTCTATACCATGCTCTACTAGCGTGAAACAGACATTCGCGTAAATCCGCTGCGTCAACCTCGAAGACTGTTACCATCGCATTTCTCATCGCGGTAGATCAGTCATCACGGATTGCACATCGCACTGCCCAACTTTGTCTTGTATCGTCCGCCGCGGCTCGTCAGCTGAATCTTGCCACGCACTCCTCTGCTGACTACACTGCCATACCCTCGCCTATGTCATCGAAGATGGAAAAGGTGAACGGTTCACCTTGGTTAACGTATTGCACCTTGGTGTACTGCG